TTTTTTCTAGTCTAGATAAATGATCAACTATTTGATTCTCATTTCCCTTTCTATCAACTACAATAAAATTGAACTCTTGCAATAGAAGTATACATCTAATTAATCTTGGTTTAGCATCCTTCTTTTGCATCAAGTATTTGATAGCAGAATGATCTGTAGGCACTATACATTTGGTTCCAATCAAGTAAGGTCTAAATTTATCAAAGGCATGGACAATAACTAATAACTCTCTTTCAGTAGTAGTGTAATTAATTTGAGCATCATTTAGAGTTTTACTAGCATAATATATTACTTTAAAAACTTTGTTGGGCATTTGTCCTAAAACAATTCTAATAGCATAATCACTAGTATCGAACATTATTTCAAATGATTTATCCCAATTAGGTGGAACTATTATAGATGCAGTGATTAATTTTTTTTTCAATAATTCAAATGCTTTTATGCATTTCTCAGTAAAATTAAATTTTGTACCTTTTTATAAAAGTTGTCATAATGGCTTAGTTATTTTTTTAAAAAAATTTATGTAACGCCTGTAGAAACTAGCATGTCCTAGAAAACTTCTTACCCCTCTAACCGTAGCTAGTAGGAGGTGGTAATTTTTTAATAACTTGAATTTTTGCAGAATCTACTTCCATGCCATTTTTAGAAATTTTATGCCCAAGTACAATTCCTCCAGCAACCATAAATCGGTTTTTTTCCCAATTTAGTACTAGGTTGAATTTTTCACATAAATCTAGAAAATTTTCGAAATAATTTAAACATAATTCAAATGAAGTCCCGAATATAGAGAAATTATCCATAAATACTTCAATTCCATGTTCAATCACATTACTAAAATTCAACATCATACATTTTTGAAATGTCACAGGTGCATTGTATAATCCAAAAGGCATTCTACAAAAAGCAAATGTTCCATAAGAGCTTGTAAATGTTATTTTCTCTTGATCCTCAAGAGCAATTGGATTTTGATGATACCCGATACATCCATCTAAAAGGCAGTAATATTTATTTCATGTCAATCTATCCAACATTTGGTCTAGAAAGGGTAAAGGAAAGTAATATTTCCTGGTGGCCATGTTTAATTTTCTATAGTCTATACAAATTCGCCAACCAGTAACTTATCTTATTGGAATTAATTCATTTTTCTCATTTAATTCAATGGTCACTCCTCTTTTCTTTGGAACATAGTGAATTAGACTCACCCAAGCACTGTTTAAAATAGGATATATAATTCCAACATCTAACCATTTTAAAATTTCTTTTTAAAAACTTCTTTCATTATGGGGTTTAATTCCTCTAAGGATCATCTTTAGATTTGTATTGTTCATCTAATAAAATTCTATGCATACAAATTGAAGAAGGACTAATTCCTTTAATATCTACTAAAGTCCATCCAAAAGCCTTTTTATATCTTTTCAACATTTCTATTAACTTTTGTTCTTGAATTTCAGTTAACTCAAAAGATACAATAACATGCAATGTAGATGAATCTCTTAAAAACTCATATTTTAAATGGGCAGGTAATACTTTCAGTTTAAGTTCATGTGGTTTAATACTTGAAGAAATAAGATTTTTATTATCATTTTCCAACAAATCTAGTTTCAAATTTGTCTTGAGTATAATCTTAATTCTCTTCTTTTATTTCATTCTCATTCTCACAATATTATTCTTGCCTTAATTTTTCTTCAAACAGTTCCTTAAATTGCTCATTACTTAGATAATCAGTAAGTTTCATCCTAAAACATTCATTATCTTTTTATATTATAGGATATTTCATAGCTTTTGCAATATTAAATGTTACTTCTTGATCACTGACTCTCATTATTAATTCTTCTTTTTTCACATCTATCATAGCTCTCCCTGTTGTAAGAAATGGTTTCCCCAAAATAATAAGAATCTCTTTATCTTCCTCCATATCTAATACAATAAAGTCTACAGGAAAAATAAATTTATCAACCTTTACTAATAAATCTTCTATAACTCCTTTAGGATAAGTTATTGATCGATCAACTAACTGAAGAGTTACAGTAGTAGGGAAAATCTCTCCCAAATCTAAACGTTTAAAAATTGATAGAGGCATAAGATTGATACTCGCTCCTAAATCACATAA